AGATGTTCCCAGTGATCCACATCATGGCTGGAATGAAAAGATCTACACAGTTTTTTCATTCCATTTGCTGGAACATTAAATATGAGAGGGAACACAGCAGGATATGATTAGTAGAAAGTGTGACGTTTTTTATGTATGTTTTAATCTTAAGGAAATGTTTGTTACCCTGGAGGAGGCCAAAGAACATTTTACTGCCTCAGAAGAACAAAAAAGTTTATTGTTTTTATTCCAAAGTATGATCATGTGAGTGCTAGAGTTAAAGGACAAGCAGCCCTCTGATTACATGAGCTCCTCAGTTATCTGACAAAACGCTGGAGCAGAGAAACAGTCTGCTGGACTGTTTCACATTAAAGAACAGCATGATGACTCATCTCTGAGGTTCGGCTCATGTTAAGACCACAGTAACTCTACTGTTTCTGAAAGAGAAGGAATCATTGCAACAGATGATTTTCATTTTCTCAGTGGCGTCACGGCAGCTACCTCCATCCTTCTTATACAGTCTGTGCTCAGGAATGATGGGAAAGGTAACATAAATTTAAAAAGTGTAAACACTGGACCTCCTCCATGTATTTTAAGGGTCTGTAACTTTAAAAAAAATCATATTATGAAGGTAAAACTCTGCATGACTGAAGTACAAATATTAAAGTTATTGTACATCAAAAACCAGCTCATTCTGAGGAGGTTAAATGAAATGAACTGATTGATTTGTAATGCAATGACCCTTTTACTGTGTTGATGTAATTCCACAAATGACCTGCGGGGGGCAGTGCGCGTCTGTCAGCAGCAGCAGCAGAAGAAGAAGTCGAAACCCGGAAGTAGCCGACACGGTTTGGCAGCAGAGCTCCAGCTGTCAGTCCTCTACCGACCTGTGAGTTGTGTCGTTGTGTTGTTAAAGAGGACAGACGTGCATGTGAAGCTGTTGTCGAGAAAAACGTGTTCACATTTGGTGAGTTTAATTCGTATTTTAACACGAAATGAGGCGAAAGTTAACAAATGTTGACGGTTAGCTTAGCAGCTTCTGGGAAGTGACACAATTGGGCAGCAAAACTTAACACAGAATAATAAATACGTAGCTGACACTTTAACTTCAGTCTTAACACTCTAAATAATATAAAACGATCTAAACACAAATAGAGCTGCATGCTTTTTTTTAGCATTGACAGTATTTACTTTGTTGTAGTATTTATTTTTTAGTGTTTTAATTTAGTTTTTTTCTGTTCTAAGTAGGTTTATGAATTGTTTTCGCTCTTAAAATTCTTCCAAAAGGCCTTAATGAATGTTTCTTGTATGCCTGTGTTTTATGATTCCTTTTTCTTTATGATCTCAGTGTTTTTAGGGTCCAACTTTTCTGGTTTTTGTTTGTTTCTCATTCATTTTTTGCACGTTATTACTCTTCAGTATTAATTTAGTTTCTCTTCTGGTTAACTTAGTAGTTGTTTGGTTTATAAAGTATCAGAAACATGCAGATCCAAGCCCCAAAGTTTTGCATGCACAACCAAAATAGATTCAGTTTACTGTCATTTAAAAGCAGCAGTAGTAAAGAAACCAGAAAATATTTAAACAAAAGTAGCTTGAATGTGAGAATTTTAACTTTAAATACTCAAACATGGGCTTAATAATTACTACAGTTAATGTTGACAACCAACAAGGAAGAATCTGCACAGAGAGAATAGTTTTTTGCCTGATAAATTTCATTTAGACTGACTAGTTCAGCGACTAACAGAGAAAGTAATCAGAAATAGTTGTTACAGATAGAACCAAGTAGTCGCAGTTACAAATCCAGACGGCTCATGTTATAAAATCAAACACACACTGCAAAAACAAAAACGTAAAATCCAATTTTTCCGTTTAAATGTTTCAGCTCATAGCGACCATTTAAAGAGTCTGCTTCATAGTTTCTTTAAAGCTGCAGCTGTGAGCACAAAGATGATTTATTTGCGATGCCTTTAGCAGAGAACACAGTTTGACCTGCAGCAGACTGAAGGAACCGTGACTCAAGCATTCTTCTCTCTTCTGTGTTGCTTCCTGTACAGGAGTTCGGATCCATCTGGATGTTGAGCGTTCGGACTCTGTTCGGGATCGGCTTCCTGGTGACCTCGAGAGCCGCGGCTGCCTTCGCTCAGACCGGGACATGTTCTCTGTCCGCTGCAGCTAATAATCACAAGAAGGACTGTTTGAGCAGCAGAGCGGCGTCCACCATGGCCCAGACCATTAAATATCTCGGGTAGGACTGCAAAACATGTCGTTTAAGCCTCATGTAAAGTAAATGAACTCAAACACATCAGGCTGCGACTTTTTTGCTGCTTGATACAAAAAGAAAACTTCTGCAAGAGAAGTCGGTCCAATAGAACCGAAGTGTGTTTTTTTTGTTTTATTCACAAGCCACAGAGTTTGTTGTCTTGCAGGTCCCACGTGTACGTAGAAAACGAGCAAAAAAAACCTGTGGAAAAACACTGAAAAGGAAGATTTGCTTCCAAAAAGAAATGCAGCGTCTGTCGTAGGGAAATGTTTTGGCTTCAGAAATGATGATTTTGACCAAAGGCAGCTCCTCCCTCGGCGGTGGTTTTACCATTTAAATCTGCACCACAAATCTCTGCACGGCGACTACGAAGCCACAATCGACGCGAGATCCAAAGCAATAAAAAAAACAAAAAAACATTTTGGATGCCTTTGAAAGAGTTACACCACATGAAACAGATTCCAAACTCCTTTTTTTTTTTTTTTTACAATTATTATTTTGTTTTATTTCTGATGCACTTCACTGCAAAGCCATCCCAGGATGATGAACTCTTTCCAGTTTTTGTTATTTAAGTCATCTGCTGTGTTTTTTTCATATGGCAGAGAAACAAACTGCCAGTTTTCCTGCTCTTAGGAAAAGCTTTATACCTCCTACATTAGTAAAATAAGAATGCATGTACAGTCGTCCTCAGATGTGTTCATACCCTCCCATTAAAGAAGAAAAAAAACTGCTGTCACTGAAATAAGCTGAAATCAACAAAAGCAATAATAAATAAAGATTTAATGGACACCGTGGACCACTGCTCATCAGCAAAGGGCTCTCATTTGTCCGGGACATTTTTGTTTTTTTAAATTATTTTTTTCAACCAAAATTCAAAAGCAACATCTTATTTCACTAAATTATAATTTAGCAAATTTTTATTTATTTTTGCTTTTTCCAGTTTCTAGTTATTTGAGTGACTGCTGTGGATTTTGCCTTTTCTTTAATGGGAGGGTGTGAATACATCTGAGGACGTGGAGCGGTTAATAAACTGACCTGCAGACTGTTCACAGGCAGGAGGAGGCTCAGCACATCGATGAGGAGCTCTTCAGCGAGTACGGCTTCAGCGTGGACCAGCTGATGGAGTTGGCCGGGCTGAGCTGTGCGACGGCCGTCACTCGGGTGAGAGTCGCTCTCAGCTCTGTAGCCGAAGCTGCAGTGTAGGACTTTGTCTCCCTCTGTTGGCAGCAAGAGTAATTACAAAAGCCCCGCTGACCCCCACATGCTTGTGACGTGGACCTCTTTGGTTTTAGGATGTAATTGAGTTTTTTTCTTTATCTGCAGCATCAGTGCTTGTTGGGTTTTTCCTACGTCTTCTCCAACATACTCCTGCTGCATCACTGCTGCTGCATCACTGCTGCTGCACCAGTGTGGAAATGTAGCCACAGGAAGCAGATTTCAAACTCTGGTTTACTGCAAAACACAAAGACACACGATGCACATGGTGCTTGATCAGCTTTATGTGAACTCCTACAAGTCCTGCACTCCAGTTTCAGTACTCTTCTCACATTTAAATAAGAAATTTTAAGCAAAAATGCCAAATGTTACCTGATTCCAGCTTCTCAGATGTGAAGATTTGATGCTTTTCTTTGCATAATTTGTTTATGAGTAACAAGTATTGATTATTGTTGTTTGTTCTTTATTTCTTTGAATATTTAAAAAGTTGTTTGATGTATAAAATGTCAGAAAATGGTGAAAAAAACTCCAATGTTTTATCATTTTAGTCCACAGCTCAAAGATTTTCAGTGTAATGTCACAGAAAAGTTGAAATATCAGCAGATTTTCAACTTTAAGTCCCTGAAACTAGACGATGTTCTCAAAAAAAGACTCAAACTGATGCATTTATAATCAAAACAGCCGGCGATCAATTTCATTTTTGTCGTTTAATTGATGAATCTGTGCGGCTGTGCAGGTGAGGATCTGAAAAAAGAGAGTATTTGTTGTTTTTGACTGATAAATGACATGACAGTGAAGTCATGTTCACCTTTTTCTGACATTTTATCAACATATGTTCATCACAGAAGTCATTAGCAGACTCATTAATAAGGGAAATGGTCTTTAATTCCAGCCGTGGTTTCATATAAATACAGCACTTGGTCACCATGACGTGAACATGTTTGTGTTTCCCCTCTTCAGATAGATGTTTGAATGTGAATATAAATGATTAGTAAAGTTTAATTAAAGTGATTTAGAACAGATGTAAACAGTCCAGTGTTGATATTGCAGCCGACTGAAGCCTCTTTGCAGAGATCTTAACTCTGCAGACGCATCCACATAAAAAGCTTTTAGATTTTGTTCATTTCTCCGTCAGAAGTCCGGCTGCTGGACGGGAAATCAGGTTTTACATTTACGGCACCAGAGGAAGTCTGAGTGAGATTACTCCCTGAAGTGAGGAATAATCAGATTACTTGTACTCTGCATGCCTTGCTGCTCCTGCAGGCGTATCCACTCACGTCTCTGGTGAAGTCCAGACCTTCTCTGCTGGTGATCTGTGGACCCGGAAACAACGGCGGCGACGGTCTGGTCTGTGCGAGACACCTCAAACTGTTTGTGAGTGAAACTTCAACGTTCTGGTGCTGAATTCTGGTGGAGTCGTACTTTTAAATCCACTTCAGTTGTTTTTAGTTAACATTCATTTAGCAAAGTTAAATCATTTTCTGCTTTTTCTTGATTTTTTTTGTTTGTTTTAAACTAAAATTAAAATACAGCAAATTAAACAACGAGCTTCATTTTCTGCTGTTTCGTTTTCAGTTTTAATGGACGGTAGGAAACATGGAAACTGTTGTCTTGATTTTTTTTCTTTGATGATTTAGGTTTTTTTTATTTTAAATGAAAAAAATATTTAAAAAATTGTTGCTGGTTTAAAACAGTAAAAAAACCTTTTTGATTTTTTTGTTGTTGGTTTAAAATGGTTTGTTTTTGTTGTGACACATAAAGACCAAAAATGGTCAATTATTCTGTATTTTTCAAAATAAATAAATAAATTTAAATTTAAAAAAATGGTGAAAAATGACAAACATTTTTTTCTTTCTGTGTCAAACCAAAAACAAACAAAAACAAATTCCAGTGTTGATGGACTTTGGGATGTCGTTTTGTTGTTGTTGTTGTAAAACAAATACATTTATTTATTTTATTTTTTTTTAAGAAAAAAAAGAAAATTAAATTGCATCCAACCAAACAAAAAAACAAACAAACAAACCAAGAAAAGCTTCATTCTCCACTGTTACATTTGATTTCCAGTGTTGATGGACTTTGTTTGTTGTTGTTGTGAAACGGACAGAACAAAAAACCTGCTTGTTAAGTTTTTAATTGTTAAAACACAAAAAATGAAATTGCTCCCAACGAAAACCAAGAGCTTCACTTTTCAGTTTGTTCTGTTTATTTCTGACTAATGTTAGACTTCGGGATGTTGGAGCAGTTTTTTAAAAATGAATTTTAAAATGATTTTTTTTAAAAACAGAAACTGAAATTTCACCCAACCCACTATTTTCCACTTTGTTACTTTTCATTTTTACTATTAGTGGACGTTGTAAAAACTGTTATTTTTGGTTTAAAGTGAATAAATGAAGCTGGAACTCTTCATGTTCTTACCTTGAACATTCGACGCCTTTGGCTGTGACTGTGTGGAACTAAAACACCATCTTTGCTGGCAGCCCCTCTTCACCATCAGCCAGGTTAACGTCCTGCCTTCTTGTTTTTCCTCCTGCAGGGCTACGAGCCCACCATCCTGTACCCGAAGAGGCCCAACAAGCCGCTGTTCCAGGGTCTGACCACGCAGTGCCAGAAGATGGAGATCCCCTTCCTCAGCGAGATGCCGGAGGTTGGCTGATCGTCTATTATTCAGCAGCTCGTTTGATTTGTACCAGCTCTGCGCTGCACTTTATTAGAACCCGTCCATGTGGGGAAATGAGCTCTTATCGCGAGCCGATCGATAGCGGAGCTGATAAGTAACGCTGCAGACAACCTGATTTATGTCTTGAAGGTGCTTCTGGTTCTTTTCACTTTGTTTATCTTTCTGAATGTGTCTCCTCAGGCCGAGGTGGTGGACGAAGCTTACAACCTGGTGATTGACGCCATCTTTGGCTTCAGCTTCAAAGGCGCCGTCCGGGAACCTTTTGGATCGATTCTGGACGTACTGAAGAAAACCACAGTCCCCGTCGCCAGCATCGACATCCCCTCAGGTCGGTGCCGCACGCAGAGAGGCTTCTAACAGGCCTTCAGATCAATCAATACCATCAATAAAAAACCAAGAAATCGTCACTTAAACGTGTCACAAAGAGCAGCTTCACGTTGTTTTAATTTCATGTGCGTGAAGTCACTGCTTTGTCCTGATTTATTACATTTATGGCTTTACATTTATTCATTTGTGTGTTTTTAATTGTCGTATTAAATGAATAACTGTGTAGCTCAGTAAACAGGCTGAAGTGGTTCGAGGTGGTTAAAATCTACTTAAAAAAGGTTAAAAATGATAACAATTCAATTAAGGTGGTTAAAAATAAATTAGACCTCAATTTTCCTAAAATATTGGTTAATTGTTTTAAATAAAAATCCATAATAAGGCAGTCAAAATCTAATTAAACTTCCTTTTTTTGTGAAATATAGGTTAAATGATCAATGATGTTTCAAAATGATGTGACTAAAATCAAGTTAAATCTTCTTTTTCTTAAAATAATGATTAGAATATTTTGATAATCATCCAAAATGAGGGGGTTAAAACCTAATTAAACTTCCTGTTTGTTAAAAATGATTCATACTTTTTCAAAGTAAAGTGGTTGAAATTAAACTAAATCTTCTTTTTCTTAAGAAATACGTTGGAAATGATCAATAATGATCCAAAGTCATGTGGCTGAAATCAAATTAAACCTCTTTTTTCTTAAAAACAGGTTTAAAATGATCAATTATAGTTCAAAATAATGTGATAAAAATCAAATTAAACCTTCTTGTTTTTAAAATATTGATTAGAAATTGTCAATAATAATCCAAAATACGGTGGTTAAAATGTTTATTAAACCTCCTGTTTGTTAAAAAATAGGTTGAAAATGATCAATATTTTAAAGTCAAGTGGTTAAAATGAAACTAAACCTCTTTTTGTTTAAAGGTTTAGTGATCAATAATATTTCAAAGTAATTATTAAAATCTAGTTTTTCTTAAATATTGGTCAGAGATTGTCAATAATAATCCAAAATAAGGGAGTTAAATCAAATGAAAGCTCCTGTTTTTGTTCAAATTAAGTTAAAAATGATCAATAATAAGTCAAAATAAGGAACTGAAATAATAATAATGTAAAAACAGGTGATTCAGAAACTTTTTTCTGTGTGTCTCTGTCGATACACAACTCCCCTCTAATCACATGTTTGTTATTGTCAGTGTGATGACATCATTCCACCCTGACTTACATTCTTTCATCGGTAACAGGCCGCTGAGTGTTTTTAGCTTCACAACAGCCCCTCAAACAGCACTGGAGTGACTCCACAGTGAGCCGTACCGATTTCAAAGCTTATATTTTATGTTCCAGAAGCCTGCTGTATTAAACACATGTTGTCTGGTCAGTTTGCACAAGCGAGGACATAATGAGGCTTTGATTTTCTGTGGCCGCCTCCATCCGCCCGTGTGCGACCAGAACAAAGATCAATAGCTGGAGTCCGTTCGTGCTCCCCGCAGGACGGATCGATTCAGTGACCCTGTGGTCTCCCTCCGTCACACCAAACCTCCGTAACGTCAGCGTCTGACTTCCTGTCTGCTGTCTCTGAAGGTTGGGACGTGGAGCAGGGCAGCGCCGACGGACTGCAGCCCGACACGCTCATATCGCTCACCGCCCCCAAGAAGTCCGCCGCCATGTTCAGGGGCCGGTACCACTTCCTGGGAGGCCGGTTCGTCCCGCCGGGCCTGGAGAGGAAGTACGAGCTCAACCTGCCTCAGTATCACGGCACAGACTGTGTGCTGCAGCTGTGAAGGTGACGGAAGAAACATCTGGAAAACAAGCTGGACGAGAGCTTCAGCAACACCTTCATGTCTGAAGTGGAACCTGAAACAAGTTAGCTTAGCTTAATGGAAAATGGGGGGAACGACGAGCCTAGCGCTCTTGTAAATGTAAAAGTCACTACATGTGTAATTTTTAACTGATTGGTATCGACAGTAATAAAGGTCTGATCCTCTGTTTACGTCCGCCGTCAAGCAGGTTTCGTAAATTTGAATGATTTTCTAAAGAAATGCAGCCTGATCGATCAATACATGGGTAAATTATAATACAAATAGAATGCACTAGATATTTGTTCTGTTCTGATATTTTTGTTTTCAAGCCACATCTAAAATGAAGCTACAGTAAGCAGCCGGTTAGCTTAGCATGAACACTGGAAGCAGTTAGCCTCACTTTGTGCAGATTTACCTGGACAGAGCTGCGCAGCTTCCTCCTGCTTGCAGTCTTAAAGCTAAGCTAACCTCGCAGCCAGTTAGCTCAGCATGAACAGCAAGTTAGCCTAGCATAAACACTGAAAGAAGGGGAAGCAGTTAGCCTTGCTGTGTGCTGGTGTGCAGATTTTACTCGACAAAGCTGCACTGTTACCTCCTGCTTGGGGTATTTAAGCGAAGCTAACCTAGCTGCCAGTTAGCTTAGCATGAACAGCCAGTTAGCTTAGCATAAATAATGAAAAAAGAGACGCAGTTAACCTCACTGTGTGCAGACTTTCATGGACTGTTTCCTCCTGTTTTCAGTCTTTAAGCTAAGCTAACCTCGCAGCCAGTCAGCTTAGCATGAACGCTGGGAAAGGGAAAGCAGTTAGCTGCACTCTGTGCTGGTATGCAGATTTACTTGAACAGAGCCTCGCTATTTCTCTCTGGCTTGCAGTCTTTAGGCTAAGCTAACCTAGCAGCCAGTTAGCTTACAATGAACAATGAAAGAAAGAGAAGCAGTTAGCCTCACTGTGTGCAGATCTGCTTGGACAGAGATAAACTGTTTCCTCATGCACGCAGTCTTTAAACTAAGCTAACCTAGCAGCCAGTTAGCATAGCACGAACACTGTAGGAAGGGAAAGCCTTGCTCTGTGCTGGTATATTCTTGAACAAAGCTATGCTGTTTCCTCATGCTTGCAGTCTTTAGCCTAAGCTAACCTAGCAGCCAGCTTAGCATGAACAGCCAGTTAGCTTAGCATTAACAGTGGAAGAAAAGGAACCAGTTAGCCTCACTGTGTGCAGATTTTCTTGGACAGAGCTACTGTTTCCTCATGCTTGCAGGCTTTAAGCTAAGCTAACCTAGCAGCCAGTTAGCATAGCATAAACACTGCAGGAAGAGAAAGCCTTGCTCTGTGCTGGTATGCCAATGTTCTTGGACAGAGCTACACTGTTTGCTCATGCTCGCAGTCTTTAAGCTAAGCTAAGCTAATCAGCTGCTGGATGCACAAACGTGAGAGCGCTAAAATGCGTCATTTAAATCTGGGAGTCTGATCAGTCGTGGGTGACATATTTACTCTGCTGTTGTTTCTGGAAGACTTTTCTTCATGTGAAAGAACTTGAGCTTCATCAGCTAATGAAAAATATGACAATAAAAAGTTATCACTGTACAATCACAGTCCACGTTGGCATTATTTCAGCCAAAGAAGCAAAACAAAACAGTCGGGGAGAAGATCTTTCCACCACATTTTGTCCATTTTTATTAGTACATCTTTAGGTTTCACTGAATGTACAACTAGCAATTAAACTGGAAATACCGTCTATCGTAGTCCATCACATTCTATTTTATAAATAACGTTACCGTACAGTACATGTCGTGTGTCTCATTTATACATTAGGTGGCGACGATTCAGTAAAAAGCTTTCTCGTACAATCGAACCTTCGCCTCTGCTCACGTTTCATACAAAGGTGTGACTACATATACTCGGAGGAATACTGCGTGGACAGTATATGCTTTCGACAATGTGGCTCATTAATGCATAATGGTTTTTCTCATATAAGTGCAGAACATGCTTTTGCGCGCAGAATACTATATACAGTGCTGGTTCCATGCTCTCTTTGTACGTCGGGTCCACGGGTGGTCGCTGTGGAGGAGGAAGTAAAACGGAGGCTTGAGATGAGGAGGAGGAAGTTCTGCTCCAGGTCATGCAGGTCAGAGGGTGGAAGGATGTGTTCAGTCCAAGACGGAAGCCTGAGGAGATGTAATGGGTTTACTGGCATGTGGTCAAAAAAAAGCATCGATAAACGTCTGAAACGTCCACTCAGCTGGTTTCTGTGGCTTCAGCTCGCTGCGCTGTCGGATTTTACTGCTTTTTCTAGTATTTTCTCCACTGATTGTAAAGGAGGTGAGCACAGCGTTAGAAGTGTAAATGTAATCTCAGGTAAACGCCTGTTAGCATTAGCTTAGCATAAATAATGGACACGAAGGGAAAAGTTAGCGTGGCTCAAATGACATGTTGTCTTCTAACTTGGCAGAAATGCATTCCTTCACATATGTCACAGCGTAGAGTCTAAACTTTGGTAAATATTATTAGTTTAATGAGAAATGAGTACCTGTGTGGCTTCATGAACAGGCTAAAGTGGTTGAAGGTGGTTAAAGTCAAATTAAACCTCCTTTTTCTGAAAATATCGGTTAGAAATTTTCAATAAAAATCCAAAATAAGGGAATTAAGTTTAAATTAAACCTGATTGTTAACAATGATCAATACTGTTTCAAATTAAGGTGGTTGAAATTAAATTAAATCTTCTTTTTGGGAAAAATTGATCAAATTTATCAATAAGTCAGCGGGTTAAATTTTTATTTTTTTTTTTTATTTGTTGGAAAATAATAATAATCCAAGGTTAGGCGGTTAAAATCAAACTAAGCCTTTTTTTCTGAATACTCGATAAAAAAAATAATAACATAACGTAATTTGATAAAAATCAAGTTAAACCGTCTTTTTCGTGAAATATTGGTTCGAATTTTTAAATAATAATCCATAAAAAGCGAGTTACAATCTAAGTAAATCTCTTTTTTGTTAATAAAATAAGTTGAAAATGATCAAAATTATTTCAAAGTACGGTTTTTAAAATTAAATTAAATCTTCTTTTTTGGTGAAAATTGATCAAATTCACTAATAATTCAAAGTACTATTGTTAAAATTAAAATAAACTTTAGTTTTTCTTTAAAAAACACATTGGAAAATATCAATAATAATCCAAAGTCAGGTTGTTAAAAATAAATGAAACCTTTTTTCTAAAAAACTAGATTAAAAACCATCAATAATAATTCAAAGTAATGCAATAAAAATCAAGGTAAACCATTGTTTTCTTAGAATTTTAAAATAATAATCCAAAATAAGGGAGTTAAAATCAAACTAAATGTCCTTTTTGTTAAAAATTAGTTGAAAATAATCAAAACTATTTCAAAGTAAGGTTTTTGAAATTAAATTAAATTAAATCTGCTTTTTGGTAAAAATGGATGAAATTTATCAACAACAATCCAAAGTCAGGTGGTTAAAATTAAATTAGACTTGTTTTTTTGTTTAAAATAGGTTAAAAATTCTAAATAATAATCTTAAGTCAGGTGGTTAAAAAGTTCATCAGAAGACAGAAGTGTAACACCGACAGCCTATTAGCATTAGCTTAGCATAGATAATGGATGTGAAGGGAAAAATTAGCATGGCTCAAATTACATGTTGTGGTCTTGTCACTTAGCAAAAGTGTAGATGAGCAGATTTCACTCATATTTCTTCACATATGTCACATCAGAAGTCTGTCACGTCTAAAACTTGGTCAATATTATTCATTTGATCAGAAATCGGGAAAAAAAGTAGCGTTAAATGAATTTAACAGTCAAATAAATACTGATGTTCATTATTTTTAAAAACGACATTTCTGCAGCTGTTTCCTGAAGCCTTCAGCGTTTCATACAACCGTACTTTATTGTGAAAAGGTGCTGCAGGATGTCGACGTACCTGTGCTATTCTCCGACCTGCACCCCGGCGCAGTTGTCTTTGCTTTCAGACGCTATCGCTAAATATTCAGCATTTCTGGAGGCGAAACAGAAGAAACAAGAGTCCGGATCAGAAGCGCCGAAACGTTCCTTCAGCACAGTGACATGGGTGAAAAAATGCAAAAAAATAAAGCGACAGGAGTGTTTTTTTGAACTTACAGGCGGAAGGTTTTGGTTTTGGTTTTGGTTTTTACTGAAACGAGGATGACGGGATGAAAACACGACAAAGAGACACAAGTGAACGCACACGAACACAATGGAAACAGTGGCAACCTCACAAAACAAAAGGAGACGCGAACCAAAGAGGCGACACAACAAGAGTCATCGGTGTGATTTCAGCAGCCGGACATGAATGACGTTCGGCAGGATTCATGGGGAAATGCACACTTTTCAAAGCTTCATTTTCGCTCCCAATGTGTTTGTTTTAAAACACATCGACTCCCTTTTTGCTTTTCAACTGTGAATCATTTTAATTTGGCTTTTTTTTTTTTGGACAAAATTTACCAAAAAAAGACTTTTTCAAGTCAAAGTGAAACCAGGTTCCTACAAAATGATGTCAATTAATTAAAAATGTAAAATAGTGATTGTCTAAATAATCACCACTTACATTTTTTTTAATTATTTGACATTATTTGTAGAAATCTGTGCTCACTTTGGCATTAAAGAGTCTTTTTGTGATTTTTTTTTTTTGCCATAAAAAACAGATTAAATTGATTTAAATTTAAAAAGCAATAAAAAGGTAAAAACTTTTAACACTTTTTTTTAAAAAATAGTAGTTTAGTAGAAAAGACCCAGTCACACCAGAGATCGCTGGCAAAAAAAAAAAAAAGCTTCTACTCTGCAAAAAACCTGCAGATTTTCTGATTTATTTTGAGTGAATTTGCAAAAAAAAAACTAATTTACAAACAAAAAAATTTAGTTTTTGGTTTAAAATGAAAAAAACAACCCAAAAAAAGGCACAAGTTGTCAGTTTTTGGTTTTAAAATTCAAACTTTACCGCTCCTGACACCTGAAATATTATTTTTTTAGCAACAAAAATAAGAAAAAGGTTGTTTTTTTAACATTTACATATAAATGATGGATTTTCCGACACGTTAAACGCTGGTGTGACCAGACCTTCCCTCTTGTTTCAACCTTTACATGCATCACAACCAGTTAAACCACTTTAATAAGATCTGCAAATGAGCCAAACACGCGTTTGACCACCGAACACTTCATCTTTTTCCCATTTAGTCCACGTCTTAATAACCAAAAACGCTTTTATTATGTCATGAATCTGATATTAGCCGATGTTTCTGCCTCTAAATTCCAGCCTTAGCTCAACTCACCGACTCACATTCCTGGATTTTAGATGCACATCAGTTAATATTCACTGTTGTTCCTCCACATAATAAGAGCGTTTTTCTGGAGGTTATTAAGGTTTTAATGCAGCAGGATGAAAACCTTGCGTCTCTGCAGCGGCGCTTTAACTTTTCATGTCACGTTTTTTTTTTTTTTAAAGAAATCATGAAATAACCACAACGAGACTCAAGGTTTCCTCATGCGACGAGCCCTCACGATGCACTCGGGCTACTCACGCGGCCTCTCGTAGCGCCTCCTCGCCAGCCGCTGCGATCTTTCTGTAGCAGTAGATCATCTCTATGAGGAGCCAGACCTGCAGGCCAATGATGGACACGTACATCATGACCTCCGACACGATGGAGGCCGTTCCTCTGCTCGCTGCCGAGAAAGAAAAACAAACAGGATGTCAGACCAAAAAAACAACAACACAGAGAAGGAAGCGTGAGGTTTGCAGTTGATGTTTTGGGGATTTTAACCACAGACTGTATAAAAGATGGACGCAGCAACCGGCCCCGAAAAATGAAGCCAACCTGGAAGTGTCAAAAACCTGCAGTATCACTATGTCCACTAGCTGCTGGCTCCACAAAGCCCTGGCTCCCATAGACTGGAACTGGAAAAGAAGTAATCACAGATCATGAAATACTGCATTCCTACAGCTCAGGACTTTTTAAAATTAGTTTTCATGGTCAAGTCCAGAGATCAGGTGGCCAATCTGAAAATAAATCAATACTGAATTTTTAAAAATCGTCAACATTTTGCGGGGCAAGGGGCGTGGCTGGCTTGATTGACAGTCGGCAGCGACCATACAGACGAAGCGAGCAGAAGGTGGTAAATGTGGGCGGGCAGAGAGGGCCCGCCTCTCAATCCGTCTGACCAATCACTGCTCCTATGGCTCCGCCCACTGGCTCCAAAAATCCAAGATGTCAACCAGGAAGCAGCAAAACCCTGGCTTCATGTTCTCAGTGCAGAAACCAACGGGTGACGTCATGGTAGCTACGTCCATCTTTTATACAGTCTGTGGTTTTAACAGATGAACTGGTGCATTTACGGCCTGTGAATCCTGTCAGACTGCACATTGCAGGCAGTTTATGTAACAGAAAGTGTGTTTTCATGGTTGGATCCTCGCTCACGTTTTTATTGTAGCGGAGAAAATCATGTTGAATGTGTCACGTTTGACAGGTGTTTGGATTTTGTCATCAGCAAAGTGCTCTACTTTGTTTTTTTTGTTTTTTTTTTAATTATTCTTTTCAACCACAATCCAAAAGCAACATCTTATTTCACAAAATTCAAATTTAACAAATTTTTATTTGTTATTACTTTTTCCAGTTTCTAGTTATTTGAGTGACTGTTGTGGATTTTTCTTTAATGGAATAAATTTGAGGACGACTGTATGTTTAATCATTCAGGATTCTTACATGCATTTATTCTTTAGCAGGGATCAACCAATATGTTTTTACATTTTTATCATTATTTACTGATTTTCTTTTTTAAAGGCCGATGCTGATTACTGGAGCCGACATACAGAACATGTTTTAGCGTTCGTAACGAGGCTTCTTCATTAATAAGGGCGACTGTAGCTGAACATGTGAAATAGAAACAGGAACGATTTAATGATCTGCTCTGGTTCTGTGGGATCCGCTCACAAAAAGGTTCAATTTTCCAAAAGGAATTTGACGGAGTGACTTAAAATTCTCTAAAATGACTCGAATGTTTTCCAGAAAAATATTCAAAATGATCCAAAAGTGGCTCAAATGTTTTCCAGAGCGTCCTAATGCAGCATCAGGAAGGACGTTTCCATCTTGAAAAAAGAAATAAAAATTAAAAAAAAGGTTAGCGTCCGTCTCTCTGCAGCGATCTGGAAACATCCTCCGTCGTCGAGACTCACTGATGCTTTGCAACCTCAGCAGCTTCTTTAATTATTTAGCTCCTCCCGGTAAATGCAGCCGCATGTCTGCAGAGCGTCAGTGTTAATGGACATTACGCTGCTCTTTAACTGTGGCCCACGAAACAGCAAGTACACTCACAAAGGAATGAATAACGTTTCCCTTCAACCGTCTGACTAACGTAACGGAATGCTATCTCTATAAAAACTTTCCGACGGTTCTTGAACTGCACATCCGTGACCAGCAGCTCCGTCAGAAAATGCATCAGAGCCAGAGACCGTAAAAACAGAAAGAATCTTCAGGTTGTCAACTGTCCGAGGGTTCTTGAACTCATCGGCTGTGACTTGTTCTAAGGTTTAAATTGTGAGATTTAATTAAAACACTCGCCACGTCTCGCTTAATAGTTAGCCACAAAAAAATAAAAAGGTTTATGTTTGATAAATTCTGTGAAAATCTAAAAATTCTGCGCTTTTCTGTGCAACTGTGAAGCCGTGAGTGACTCGGCTGCAACCGACAGTGTTTTTACAAGAATTCAGGTACGATCCAGCTGAACTGCAGGAGGCGCAACCACAGAGCAGAGGGTCAAGAAGTATAAAAGCAAATTAAAAGTCTAACTAGTAAAACATCTGTACTATTCAGATCCTCCTCCATTTTTTTCCCCAGTGTTTTAACACATGAGGGCACTTGGACAGATGTTGGACATGTTGATTCCAGTTGTTTTGTATTTTATTTTTTTGGTAAAATCAATAACCAGAAATATTTCATTTTTCTGAGTTCATTTCTGAGTTGTCTCTCCTCCTTTATGTTTCCACAGAGCTGCTGGACTCCATGTTGCAGTTGACAGGAGCAAAAAAACCCACAGAAACAGCTGCTTGGAGTTCACATTCAGTATCATGACGATGACTGAAATCTGACTGTTTTCAATCCAAACCTGCCGCGATGCACTTCAGACGTACCTTTGGCCACCACGGTGAGGTACACCACCTTGGTGACGACGTTGTGGTACTCGTAGTTGTCGTAGAAGAGGATGCGGTTGAAGTAGCACTGGTAGACGCCCGAGTCGTTGAAGGTGACGTTGAGCAGGTAGATGGACGCGTCCTGGATGTCGTTGCTGCGTTTGCTTCCGTTCCAGTCGATGCGATCCAGGAAGTGGTCGCTCTCGATGGTGGGGCCGTCCTCGTTGTAGGTGTAGATCTGGAGAGGTAAGAGTTCATCAGTTCCTCTGCTGCTGGGACGCAAATATGTGAATACGCTTACTGTATAATATTAAAAAAATCAACCAAATCTGGAAAATGCTCCCGTCAGACCTCCTCAGAATCAGCTGGTTCTTTATGTTCAATAACTGTAGTTTGTTTAATGAAGTTCTACCTTCAGACTGTGGATATTTCCAGAGTTCCAGGCCCTTGAAGTCCATAGAGGAAGGTCTAGATTTACACTTTTAATTGACCTTCTCCATTAAAAAGTGTGAAATCTGGACCCTCCTCCCTGGACTTCAAGGGAAATTTTTAATTTTCTGTCAAAACCTTTTTATATTTTTGAATAAAAACTAAACTCCTTAGATGTGCTCTGCAACAAGAGCTGCAACGATTAATCCAATTATTGATATTTTTGAGAAAAAATTGTCCAAATTCTCTGATTCTGGCTTCTTAAATCTGAATGTTTGTTTTTTTTTATAGCTAAACCCTCCTGACTCATCCCTGCTTTACAAGCCGTGTCCTTATTCACTGAATGTGAAAGCAAACAGTCTTGTGAATACATCAACAATAGAAGCTTTAGGACCTGCAGTAATCCTGAATCTAAAGTGGTTTCTACAGCAGCAGGATTCCTGACAAAGCGTCCTGAAGGCTTCTGTAGCGATGCTAACGAGGTGGGTGTACTGTGAAGTCTTCATGGACATTACACAGCATGCATGTGTTTGGTTCCTGAGAAGGAGGCGGCTCACGTGTGCGCCGGCACATAAATCAGAGCTGCAGCAATTAGTTTTGCATATTAAATTTGATCAAACACTATTTTTATAATCAGTTTGAATCATTTTTCACATAAAAAAATGTGCTTAAATGTGAACATTTTCTGTTTTCTTTCCTCCTCTGTGACAGCAAACCAAGCTGCGGATGCTATTTTGAGCCTTTTTCTTCATTTTCTGTCGTTCTACACACAGAAGGAAACGATCCTCGGCTGCAGCCCGTTACGCTGCGACATCATCTCTACCGTCGCCGCGGTGACAAACCAGCACTCCCGCTCAAGGTCAGAACAGTCGTGTGTCATCTCTGAAGCTTTAATGATCTCTGCGGTGATTGATTCCATGTGAAGCTGGTGACAGCCTCGTGGAGCATATGGACGAGAGAGACGGCGAACTGGGCTATATATATAAATGCATGTATAAATAGCTGGCGTCTTGAGAGATGTAGCCGAGGACGACTTTATTTTAGGATGATTTAAAGCTGCCCCATTTTTAGCAAATTAATAAAAGTCTCAGATCTCCCCCAGAGCTTGTCTGTCAGTGTTTCAGCTCAGAACACCATAAAGATGGTTTATTTCTCCAATCACTGTGCATTTGTT